AAATTTAATAAAAAAAATCTCAATCTCTTCATCTATCATAATGCTGCCAGTGTGCCCTGTGGTGAGAATCTTTGTTTTCTTGATATTTAGCTTCAATCCATATTGCAAACTATAGTCCTTGACTTCTACAGCAAATGCTTCAGGCCCTCCTCAGTTTCAGCAAGTAAGGTTGTACCATTTGCATAATCACCTGTCTCCTAGTGATTACATATATTCAGAGTAGAACTTCTTCATTGTGTTTTCAAAGTTGTGACCATTCAGGCACCAAACTTCCAAGATTTACCTCAGTGAGTATGAACTGCCAACTTTTTGGTTAGTAGCTCTGCACATAATCATATGTCACACAAGTAACTAGCTCACTCTTGTTACTGAGTTGTAACTGATTCATATCTGACCCTCCACTTCCTAAACAACATGCCTCCAGAAACTATGAACTTTGATAAATGTCGATAGTTATAGAAAGGCTTCTTCAGGACTTTTGTTCATAGGGTTGCTATGAGTCATGTTCAACTTGAAGACTTGTTCATAGGGTTGCTATGAGTCACACTCAACTTGAAGACAACCAACAATGATGAATTTTTAGAGGTTGTAAATTGCATGGGGAGAGTTGCCCATCTTTCTCCAGTGGTGCAGCTGATGGAGTCAAACTTTCTGCCTCTTGGTTGGCAGCACAAGTCCTTACCCACTAGGTCACCAGAGCTTACACAGGAACTCCTGAAATGATTTCTAACTGTTTAAATAGTAAAATTCTTTTGAAAAATTCTTAATCACCGAATAGCTATGATATTGTCCAGTGTCCTTAATTAAATTTTGAGTCACAGTGAACGCATATGGCAGAATATAAGTACTTTCATAGTATTTCTCAGACTGTAACCTTATGGAAGCATCTTCTTTCTTTGTCCCAGAGCAGCTGAGAGGTTTCAAAATGACAAAATTGCAGTTATCAACAGAATGCTCAAACTCAATGCAATTGAGTCATTCTCAATCCTAACGACTCTCCATGGGGTTTCTAAGATGTAAATCTTGATGGGAGGAGGTTGTCCATCTTTTTCCTGTAGAGTCACTGGTGGATTCAAACTGCAGGAGATACATTTTGATTGGAAGCACAGCATACTGTGGACCACGCCACTAGCTGATAACACGGCATATTCGACTTCAGAATTTTGTAAATAGAGTATTGTAACTTCCTGGAAAAAATATAGAAAAAGAAATTTCCCTGCCTTTGAGCCAACAAATTCAAATATAGAATTGCTGTAAATAATTGTTGAGATTAGTTTTAGAAACAGTAATGTGGGGTGACAGCCACATAAATCTAGAGGTTGTGCTGAAATTAGCTTGTGCATCTTATAACTCTATGATAATTATCATTACTAAGCCAAATTCCCAACAGGAGTGGCATGATAGGTGTGTAATATTTCCTACCTCTGTATCTTCTTTATCTTCCTGTAACATATGCAAAACTTCTCAGGTTTGCACAAATTACTTCCTTACTTACCTTTTAGTAACTCTTACTAATGTTGATTAGCCTCAACAGCCAGCATATCCATTACATTCTATCAGCCAAACTAAATACATGTCACAGATTTACTGCAAATTTGTATTCATTTGCTGCACATTTATTAAAACATGACTATTTACTTAATATTATTTCATTATAAGTTGTTATTAGATTACTAATAATGACCAATATTCATAAATATTTATTAAGTAGATGCTTCCATCAGATGTTTTTAGTGCTTATAATTGTGAATGGTTAAATCAACAAGCTCTCTAGAAAAGACAACCCAATGCTGTGGTCCCTCCATACAAGGTTTTAATTTTATAAAAACAGACTCTAAATGCTGCTTGCTTTCTTGCCAACGGAGTATTACCCTTGCCTTTGCTGCAGAGCTACCACCAAGAAAATAAAGAACCTACACTGAGAACCTTCTGAATCCAGCTCTGTCTGTGTGTATACAGTCAAAATGAAACAAATTGGGGCAATTTGCTGAAGGTTAAACCCTCTAAATGGCATTCACCTAAAGCATGCAGGGGAAATGGTTTGGGAGGCTTAAATTATCACGTAATTGCCTTAATTCTCTGGGTTGCTTTTATGAGTAGACACAACTTTATGGTATCGAGCTGAAGATCCAAAATTGGAGGTTTAAGGTTGTTTGGATTTTTTTTATGCTCAACACCCTCAATCAAATATACTTTTCATAAAACTTAAGTTTTACATATGTCCCACAGACCTCAGTGGAAGAAAGTTCCAGAAGAGGCTGTTTGCATGAGTGATCTGCCTGCAGTTTTCCTTCCAGTAGCCATTACCTTCCATTTTGTCATCAGCACTTTAACTCTGAAGCTGCAGGGAGGTGGGGGGGTTTTTTGTTGTTGTTGTTGTTGTTTGTTTTTTCCCCCAAGGACTTAAGAAGCAAGCATAACTGTGTGCTTTTGTTCTTAAATATTTGAACACAGACTGATCTTCCAAAATATTCCACTAGTGAAATCTCACTGATTTCTATTGGAATTTTCCCCCTCTGTCTTGAGGCAGAAGTGAAAGGAAAGATGATTTATGAGCAAGATGGCTCAACTCTGTCTGATTTTTTTGCCTAAGACTCTTCCAAGGAAACGTCAGTCTATGATTCAGTAGTTCTTTTGAGTTATGATGGTGTTAACTAGGATAGCATAGTCTTGAAGAGACCATCTGTAATTTCAGCTTTAAAAAATAATTTTTAGCAAATTTTAAGAGTTTAAGACTGCGGAAACTTTTGCTGACACTGCACGTTCTCCTTGCTCCCCACCTCACCAAACTGTATTGCACATAAACCTTTTGATGTTTGAAACAGTTGTGGGGTTTTTTTTTTTCATTGGCAGCTAAGAAAAACACTCTGGAAAGTTATATTTAGTGAATTTGCCCATGAGTAAATATCCCTGAGCTACTCTGTTATCCTATGGCATCTGGAAGAAAGGTGCTATTGTTGTAGAGTCGTGATTGAAGTCCAGAATAATCAATTCAAAGAGACCCTGCGGGGAAGATTCACTCCCATGTGCTGTGAACACTTGGATTCCCTGAGCTTTTTCAGTCTTCTGTTCAGTTGAAGGGACGTAGATTAGTATATGTTTCAGTATAATGTACAGTAACACCGAGTCCCCATTCATGCCACAACTGCATTATAGTATGACCATCAATTTGTATCTCAGATTATTAACTATAAATTTTCCTGAAAAATGACATTTGTTATTAATCCCTGTGTTGGTGTTGTTTTGCTTGCTTTCTGAGTAACAATGACTGGATGGTAGGTTTTGTCCACAAGTAGTCTAGCCATGTACTGGGTGCTGTAACAGGCCACACTGTATCACCAGGGCATTAGGAGAGATGTACCATCAGGCTTAAGGCAGTTGAATATGCTCCACAAGTGATTTAAACCTTCTCTCCATTTCTTGCTAAGCATTACTTATTGACCTTCTGCATGAAAAATTAGTGTAATTCCTGAAGACCATGATAGGTTTGTAAGAAAGGAATTCACCCTGAACTTAAACACAGAGATGGAGAGAGAAAGGGGGTGGGGGAGAGAGAGAGGAAAAAAAAATAGAGAGGAACATAGTTGAGAATAAAGTGGAAGCTCAGTTAAAAGGTGCAGTTATTTTACCTTTGAGTTGGGCATTTTCTCTATTGCTTTATCCAATGGTGATCAATTAAGAGCAGCTGTACCTTACAGTATTCCACTGTGAAAATTTCGAATATTTAAAGTGTTTAGATAGAAAGGATGTTACAGAAGTATGGGTAATGGGGTGCCTACTTTCCGTCTGCTACACCTTCCCTGAGGTTTTGTCTGTAGGGCCCACCTGCATATGCAGACAGGATGGAATTTGGTTTGCAAGGGAACTGCAAAAATTACCCAAATAATTCAGATTTTTAATGAATAATACACAGACATGCACCTGCTTCAAAGACTTCATAGATTAGTTTTGTGACCAATAGAAAAGCCTCTTGGAATTCAATTACATGACTGGAAAACAGAATAAAACTGACTATAGGTTTAGAACTGGTAACAACAAAATGGTAACTAATTCCTAGCACAAGCAAGGAAAACCTGAGAATTAGGTGGTTCCATTTGCTTTGCTTCTGTGAGGCTTATTATAAAACCATAATATACTCCTCAAATTATTATCTTTTTTTCTTCCAGCTGGAGTTGCTTACAGAAGATATTCTGCACCAAGCCCCAAATATGAATGCTGTGATTTCATTACAGAAGACCATTGAAATTCAAAGTATGTCTTAGTTATGCTTTTGTATTTAGAGTTATAATTAAATCATATTTAGAGTTATAATTAGATCACAAAGGAATTTCTATAGAGTTATAATCATTTGAATATATTGCAATGTGTAAACACCTTAGTGCCCTTAATACCTGCAGAGCCCTAACTGTGAAAATCTTATTTTAAAGATACACTCAAAGTTTACCTTTAGATTGTCATTATTATTTAGTATTTCCAAGCACTTATATATTTCTCTTACTATGGTTGATGGTCATCAGAACAGAGCAAGGGAACAGTGCATGGTTCAAAATTGGGAAGGGCGTATGCCAGGGATGCATCCTATCTCCATACCTTTTCAGCCTATATGCAGAACAGATTATCCAGGAGGCTGGGCTCCATGAGGAGAAATGTGGGGTCAAGATTGGTCGACGATTTATCAACAATCTGCGTTATGCAGATGACACAACCCTACTTGCTGAAACTGAAGAGGACCTGAAGCACCTGCTGCAGAGGGTCAAGGACTGCAGCCTACAATATGGATTGAGGCTCAATGTCAAGAAGACAAAGATTCTCACCACTGGACCAATTGGCAGCAGCAGAATGGATGGTGAAGAGATTGAGATTGTACACAGCTTTAGTTTGCTTGGCTCCATAGTCAACAGTCTTGGCACCAGCAGCCAGGAAATTAAAAGGCTCGTTGCCATGGGAAAGTCTGCTGTTAGGGACCTCTCCAAAGTACTGAAGAGCAATGGTGTCTCTCTGGAGACTAAGGTGCGTCTGATACAGGCTATGGTCTTCGCAATCACTTGTTATGCATGAGAGAGTTGGACAATGACAAAGGAAGATAGAAGGAGAACTGATGGCTTTGAGCTGTGGTGCTGGAGAAGAGTATTGAGAATACCATGGACTGCTAGGAAAACAAACAGATTTGTCCTGGAAAGGGTGAAACTGGGTGGCTTCTTGGAGGCAAGGATTCTGAGGCTCCATCTAACATACTTTGGACATATTGTGAGGAGATACCGGTCCTTGGAGAGGGACATCATGCTTGGGAGGGTGGAGGGACAGCGCAGGAGAGGAAGGCCCTCTATGAGGTGGATTGATTCAGTGACTGGGATAGTTGGGATGGGAGTGTCGGAGACAGTGCAATTGGCACAGGACAGAACGGAGTTTAGGGCTGTTGTACATAGGGTCACTACGAGTCGCAAGCGATTCGACGGCATATAACACCATCATGGTTGATTGTGAAGTTTTATTTCACCACCTTATCGGGGGGACTGTTGTTGTTACGTGCCGTCGAGTTGTCTGCAACTCATAGCAACCCTATGTACAATAGCCCTAAACCCTGCTCTATCCCTTGCCAATCTTATTGTCTCTGACACACCTATCCCCATTACCCCAGTCATTGAATCAATCCACCTCATCAAGGGTCTTCCTGTCCTGTGCTGTCCCTCCACCCTCCCAAGCATGTTATCCCTCTCCAAGAACTGATTCCATCCTGCAACATCTCCAAAGTATGTGAGATGGACCTTCAGAATTCTTGCCTCCAAGGAGCATCCTGGCTACACCCTCTCCAGGACGAACTTGTTTGCTCTCCTAGCAATCCATGGTATATTCAATACTCTTCTCCAGCACCAAAGCTCAAAGACATCAACTCTCCTATCATCCCTAGTCATTGTCCAGCTCTTTGAAGCATAGCAAGTAATGGCAAATATCATGGCCTGTATCAGGCACACCTTAGTCTCCAGACTGACATCGCAGCTCCTTAGTACCTTGGAGAGGTCTCTGACAGCAGACTTTCCCAATGCAATTCGTCTTTTAATTTCCTGGCTGCTGGTACCAAGAGGGTTAATTGTAGAGCCAAGCAAACTGAAGCTGTCAACAGTCTCAGTCTCTTCACCATCTATCATAATGCTGCTGCCAGTCGGACCAGAGGTGACTAGTCCTTGGAAAATGGCATTGTGCTGAGAAAAGCAGAGGTTCAGAATAAGACACTCAACAAGATGGATTGACAGTGACTGTAGCTCCAGCATATCAGAAATAGTGAGAATGGCACAGGATAAAGCAAGATTCAGATCTTTTGTTCTTGATTTGCCATGAATCATAGAACAATATAATTAATATAGAGATTATGATTGCATGACTAAAGTTAGTAAAGATAAAGTACTTACATTCTAATAAATGTCAGAGTTCAACTGTCATATACTTGTTTTAAAGTAGGAGAGAGGGAAGAAGTTAAAAAAGGCATGCTGTTTAGGAAATGGCATCCACTTCCTAAACAACATGCCTCCAAAAACTATGAACTTTGATAAATGTCTGTAGTTGTAGAGGGGCTTCAAGACTTTTGTTCATAGGGTCACTATGAGTCATGCTCGACTCAAAGGCAATCATCAACAACAATGACAATTAAAGTTTAAATAAACAAAACAGGGAAAATTATGCCAGGATTGTTTGGGTTCGCTGGGGTTTTTTTCATCTGCTTTGTTTATGGTTTTTCATTTTGGTGTGGTGTTGGTTTTTTATTTTTTTTTTCTCTGTCCAGTTCCCTCTAAATTGCCATTACTTTATCAAGAATTATTCCTTCCATATAACTGAACTCACATACATATAGGAATTAAGCAAAATTAGTATAGAAAGTAGCATAACACAGAGAAGCAGATTGCTGCTGTCCTGCAGAGAAACTTTTAAAAACCAGCTGGAGAAGCCATTGCCAGCTCACTCTGTGTCAGCCTTTGCTGACACATTATCAGTTTGGAGAAATGAATGTGACAGGGTTTCTCTTAACCACCGTCTGATCCTTATCAAGGAGAAACTCAGAGTTAATGCCTCACCTTGCTTAGTCTTACCTGAACCTGGCTTGAAGGCTGTAGGTACTCAATAAATATTTTCCTACAAGTCATAATTGAAATGAAGAATTCATTTCTAAGCTTTCAGAGTAGAGAAAGAGTGTCCAAATATTATGGATCAAAGACTCTGAGATAAGATTATAGCACTGGTGTTCTGCCCGGGAAGGAGGGACAATCTCCTCCTGTACCAGTCAGATCTGATTTGATGGTACACACACACAAAAATAATAAAATTAACAAAAAAAATATTATAGCACTGGAACTAGGTGAAAAGAAAAGAATGCTGGAGAACACTTCATTAGTTTGAATTAAAATCCTGTCATCAGTGTATTGACTCTCATTTCTACTGAGGATCGATCAAGAGGGTCGATCAATGTTATACCACTCTTAAGGAAAGGAATCTTTCACAGCCTTCTCATGTTTACCTAATGCCCCCTTTCAGGTCTTCAAAACTACAAAAATATTCTGCATGTTATTCTTTTGTTCCCTTTGGAACATTCTTTGGTATCACCCACACCAGAGTATGATCAGGTGTTATGTTCCTATTAGACACAGGATTATCTAACTTTCAGTGAGCATTTTGCACGTTCATTACATCTTAATCGGTTATCAAGGCACAGAGAGAGTTTTTATTTTACCAAGAGAGTTTTCATTATATGACGAGTTCCTGGCTTGCTAGGTGCATAAACTGTCCAGATCATTCCAAAGCAGTGTTCACAGGGTGCACCAGAATCACAGAGAGGGGGTCATGCTCCTCAGCCGGGGGTAAAAACCTGAAGAGTGAGGAGGTTTCAGGGAAGGATTCTTGGCAGAGAGAAGGCTTCTTGGCAGAGGTAAGTCCTGCACTTGGTCTTAGAGATAGAATAGTAGTTTGACAAATGGAATAAGAAGGGGAATGTTTGGAAGGAAACCACGGAAGCAAAGGCCTCCATTTACACGTAAGTGTGAAAAGTATTTCGTTTGTCTGCATCTTCAGGAACTGCAGAGTTGCGTTTGTATTGAGTCTAATGATGTAGTAATGAGTTTTGCTGTATACCTTTTACCTTTCATCACTGAGAGTTTTGCATGACTTGTGCAGTCTGTTCTAGTCAAGCAAACCTGATAACTTTTTTTTTTTAAACCTGATAACTTTTGAAAAGGATTAAATCTATGGGCAAAACTTGCTGTATGAGAATCCTACCACCATGGATTTTAAATCTTTACTTTTTGTCCCAAACTGCATCTTCCTGTAAGCCAACACTGACACCTTCCTCTATTTAACAAACCCATTTCCTCTGAAGCCTGTATTGAGAATGCCATGTAACTCTGGTAAATCCAGCAAGTCCACAAACTCTGAGTATTCACCTGAGGAGTTTATTCTGCCATATTTTTGTTTTTTATTTTTATAATGTTGTATTTCATATTTTATATTAAAAAGAGTTTTAGATTCTATTAATCCTTGCTCTTTAACTAGATGATAATCACCAGGTACAAGAATCCTGTTGTTTCACTCTTTGGTGCCCCTAGGAGAAGAGTTGGCAGCAGTGAACAAGTTTGAGATGCATAGAATTCGAGGGTTAGCAGATATGAGTAAATGTGATCTGAGTAATACTTCACAGTCCCTGGGAGCCACACATTATAGATGATTTCCTTCAGAAGTAGCCAGCACGCCCTTCTTACTTCCACTTGAAAACAGTCTGATTTTACTCAGTCTTCACTGTCAATCTCATGATAGATTGATTTCATCCCCAGCTTTCAGGGAAGCTGTCATTAGACTAAGACCAAGACAGACAACCCACTGATTAATGATTGGTTTTTGAATGAGTACATAATCCAGTTCTGGACATTGAGAATCTGGACTGGTGTCATGGGTTTGCAACATATGTAGTCAAACAGACATGTGTACAAAGGCCTCATGCTCTGTTGCTACCATTGTCTTAAACTGATAACCTAGATTTTTACTTTAACTGGGCTTAAAAATTGTTTAACCTAGTGAGTATCAAGATACTGATTATTTGGAGAAACAATTTTTGTTGTTGTTGTTGGGTTTTATGTGCCATTGAGTCACCTGTGACTCATTGCAACCCTATGCACAATAGCCCTAAATCCTGCTCTATCCCATGCCAATCTGTCTCCTACACACCTATCTCCGTTACCCCAGTCACTGAAGTAATCCATCTCATTGGAAGT